TGTCTGTGAGTTCAAGGCCAGCCTGGTCTACATAGTGAGTTCCAGGACAGCTGGGGCTACAGGGAGAATAAATAAATAAATAAATAAATAAATAAATAAATAAATAAATAAATTGCTGGCCTTGGTGGTACATGTCTTTATTCCCAGCACTCAGAAGGTAGAGGCAGATGTACCACTGTGAGATCAAGGCCAGCTTGGTCTACATAGTGATATCAGGCCAGCTGGAGCTACTAGGAGACCCTGTCTCAAAAAACCAAAAACAACAACCACCACCAAAAACCAACCCTTCCCCCAATCCTCCCCACTCCCAGAAAAATCACATAATGAGCTGTTGCAAATGAGATCCTTGACAACATATGAGGGAAGTGTTGCTGTGGAGATGTGAGCAGTGCCTACCCGTTGCTCCATTGCTGCTTATCAGACGGCTCAGGATATACTCTGCTTTCAAGAGTTTCCCTGAGAAGACAAGGAGATGCAGCAGAGTTGGTTCCCAACAGCCGTGAAGTTAATATATACTTTCTGCTCTAGGGCTGATGCGTTACAAAGGGGCCATAAAATAAACAACTATGTCACATATAAAACTGAAAAAGGTGAAATTTCCAAATTGGTAAATTGGGAACTTACACAGTATCTGAAGTGGCAATTAGATTCACGCAAGTGGGTGTGTGCACACTTGCACATACCCTCACACACACCCCACCACATACCATACACGCAAACCACTACACACCTCACACACACACATACTACCACACACAGCACACACCACCATATAACACACAGCCACACACAGCACCACATATCATATACACACCACACACATACCACCACATACCTCACAGACACACACTACACCACCACATACCATAAACACAAACACCACCACACACCTCACACACACCACACACATACCACCACACACCACCACATACTACACACACAACCACACACCACCACCACATACCACCACATACCACACACATACACACACAGCACCACACATTATACACACACACCACCACTACCACACGCACTCCACATACTACCACCACACATACACACTCCACCACACCACTACCACTACCACACACACACACCACCACACATTATACACATGCACCACCAGTACCACACACACACCACTATACACCTCACACACACACCACATACACACATACACTGCCACATACCACATACACACACACACACACACAACCACACCACCAGCACCATATACATACCACTACCACCACACACACATGATTTATTGATCTTGATACAGAGTAAGGCTGGATTAGTAGAGGCAAATCTTAGTAAACTGTTGTGTGTCTCTTCTCTGTGAAAGTTGTACCTTAAAAGAAAGATTACAGTTGCCCACAAACAGCACTGTTTACAGAACAGCCCTATTCCTAGGGATTGTTTCTTTTTTTCCTCAAAATGTTTTACTTATTTCGATTGCTGCTGTTTTCCATAAGCAGGAAACTCTCTTCCCATTGACCCGCACGATCTGGTTCCTGGGGCCTCTTTGAGCTCATCTTTATTCTTTTCTCCCTTTTGCTCCTTCCACTTCAGGCACAGATGCCTCCTTAGAGCCCCTGTGATCTGACAGGATAACTTCCCATCTAGATCTTCATAGTTATAATTATTTTGGCCTGGAATGTCATTATCTGAAATACCTCCAAGACTTGTCCTTCTTCTTAAGTTTTTGCTTTAATGTCACTGTCTCAGAGCTGGAGAGATGGTTCACTGGTTAAGAGCACTTATTGAACCCAGGTTCAGCTCCTAGCAGCCACTCTGGATAGCTCACAACCACCTATAACTCCAGTTTCAGGAGATCTGATGCCCTCTTCTGGCCTCATCCACACACATACACGTACACATTCACATTCCTATATACATACACATACCTATACACATATACGTACACATGTACATACATACATACATACATATATATATATATACATACTCATACACATAAATACAAAATAAAGTAAATCTTTAAATGTTACTGTCTCCTATGGCCTTCCCTGAACTCAGTATCTAAGATTGTGTCAGATGATATTTCCAAAGAAGACTGCAACAGTGTCTTCCACCCACATGCTTTTCCCCATTCCTCCATTAAGTAGAATTGAGAATTCTCTTCTCTCTTAACATGAACTGGCCCCATGACCTGTTTTAACAGTGGTATATGGCAGAATCGACATTGTGTGCCTTGTCTAATCTGGGCACTAAGAGGTCCATCTTTCTATGTTTAACTTCCTCCTTGGAAGAATAATCTTCTCACATGTTGATTTTGCACACACTGTTATTTCCTACGATTTTATTATTTTCATCTGTGGGTATGTAATCATCCGCCCAGTAATTTCATGATGTTTGGCCCTTGCGTGTTTGGTGCTTTGCTTTCTACCTCATTTTCTCTTGCAGTCACCTCGGTGGTACAGTTTCTTTGCCAGCTGGTAGAGCTTTCTCTCCTCAGTAGTGACATGCCACAAGTACAGCCCATCTACTAGGAGGACGGTTTTTTTTTTGGCTCTTTCTAGCCATTGTTTTGTGGCTAAATTGTATTGCTTATCTACTGAGCAAACAAACAAAATAATCACAAAACAACAGCAATTGTATGATATACTTGTTTTGTGGCCAAGTCTCCCTAAGTCTCTGTAATTTCTGATATATATATATATATTAATTTCTGAAAGTTGTTTTGCTTTGTTTTTTAAGACAGGGCCTCAGCCTAGACTGACCTCAAGCTTACTATGTAGCAGAGGCTGGCCTTGAACTCCCCCTGGTCCTTCTGCCTCCAACCCCCCAGGGTTGGAGTTCTAAGTCTGAACCACTAAGCCTGGTTTAACTTCTTTTTTAAATTTAAATTAGTAAATCCATTTTCCTTTTGTGTTGTGTCTTTTGAAGACACTAGTACTAAGACTGAGTCTTTCCCCCCTCTCTGTACATATTTTCTTTCATTTCCAAGTCCCATTTCTTCTTTGTCGTACACGGCATCATTTCTTCACGTTTTCTTCTCCCCCCCGTACATTACAACATAAAGCCATCTTCAGCCAATAATATTTCCTGTGGAGTCCCATGCCCTGGAATATGGTTCTTTCTCCACAGCATAGTTTTGTACTTGATCTTTTCAGGGACCTCAGAAGATTCATGCTTGAACTGTTATTTTTTCCTAATTACTTGGTAGGGATTCACTGTCTTATGGTTAAGGTAAATGCAGATTCTACAGTCACATTGGCCCTGACTTGAGTTATTTATTTGGGAGGTTTGTTTGTGTGCTTTGTCTCTAGCCCAGAGCTTGGGCAAAGAACACATTTCCTTGCAACTTTTTCTCGATGGCTGGTAGAGCCATCTGGTCTCCCTTCACAGCCTGTGTAAATGCAAGAATTCCACTTTTTTGCACCTGTTTCACCCCTGTGACTCCAGGTTCTGTATTTTGCCTTTGCATAAGGATCAAATTGACAGTCCTTTCCCTTAGAGCTAGGTCTACTGTGTGTAGTGAGCAGTACTCTCATGCTTTGACTCTGAACACCTACCATGTTACAGACTTAAGCATCTTTACAATATTTATGTTTTTGTAATGGGAGAAGGTTCTGCACTGGTTCAACCCTCCATGTTGATGGACTTGGAAGGCAGTGCCTTTCTCACTGTGGTTTGAAATGTTTTTTTCCTGATTCAGAAAAGAATGAGCTGGGCAGGCCCTGGGGACTTCTCCTGCCTCTGACCTCTTGCTATGTTGATATCTGAGACTTTGGAATGTGTTTTGGGTAGATATCAGCAAGGACTTGATGGAGGGGGGTCACAGTGACACTGCTTCCTGGGCTCTCACACGCTTGTTGCCCTTCCTTACCCTGTGTAATACAATGGAATCCCCCATTCTCTGCTCCAGAGTTTCCTTTACACTACTGTGCTCTAAATACCCTACCCCTCCACACAGCCAGTGTATGCAGATGCTGTGCAGGTGTAGAGATGGTTTAAGGCAGAAGTTTGTATACGAAAGAGTTAACTCTGAGGCTGTGTGTTCTAGAAGCACTTCTGGAAATGTCTTTGAGAAAAAGACAACCCCAACTGTTGGGATAAGATTCAGGGCCTTTATTTTGGCTCCTGACAGTGTGAGCAGAGAAGTGGACCATCTGTGATGCCATCAAGCCTTCAGCAGAGCAGTCTCTACATCTATGTGGAGGTACGAGAGACAGCAACAAGGAGAAACAAAAGAAGAGTGGGGCGCGTAACCCAGTGTAGAAGACTTGACTCACATGCATGAGGTCATAGATTCCAGGTCCCATAGTGGGGGTGTTGGGGGAGCCAAAGAAAATGTAAGAGATTAGTTGGGTGTGTAGAAACAAAGTTGACAATGTACCAACTTGTCATTTTCATGTGACATCACAACTCTGTATACTGTAAATATGCCACGCAACTCTGTTCCAAAGCTCTGCTTGAGGGGAACCTACACTGAAACCCTGCTATGTATACATCCCGGAACATCCTGTCCCCCACAGCAAGCTCAGCTCATGCCACTGTCATTGGATACCACCAGAAGCTTGTCTTGTTAGGGTTCCCTCACCCCACACACCATTAATGCTGTTAGGGACATTTGAAGGAAGATATTTTCCCCACAGTCAGCTGTTACTAGAGTTACTCTAGGAAAGTCAAAAAAGCAGACATGGGCACAATTTATGTACAGTTAGAAGAACTTGCCAGAGTGGATTTGACTTTTTGTGGTGCTGGAATTGGATCCAGGGCCTCATATGCCAGGCAATTGGCCTATGACTGAGCTATACCCTCAGCCCTGGCTTTTGAAAAGGTAATCTCCACAAGCCCACTTCTCCTGTGTCCTTTTTATTGCTGTCCCTTCTGGATCGAACAGTTGTTCCATTTAGCAGAGTTCCTGCAGTTCCTTTTCAGAGGAAATGGAGTAAAGAGATTTTAACCTTACAGACCAGACTTATTAAAATAATAGCAATAGCAGAAATCAAGCAAAAAAGGAGTCAAGCCTGTCTCTGGGAGGGCCACTTGACTTTTGTTTACATATATTTCTTCCTTCCACTCTGCATTTCTAAATTTAATGCTTATGGGTAATTTAAGTAATTCCAGAACTAGGTAGAAGCAGGCTGTGCCGCACACCCGGTGCTCCCCATCCCCAGTCCCCCTTTTATACCTTAAGTTGGCCTGTCAGCCTCATTCAAAGTGACAGGGAGAAAAGATACTTTCAGCCCTAATCAGGTACTGCACTGGTGTTCCCAGTGATGAAAACCCTCAAACTGCTTCAGTGGGCTGTCAGCCCCATTGTTAGCTTAGTCAAGTAGCCGCACAGAAAAGAGGCAGGAGAGCTAAGAGAAAATAGTCGATTTCTAATCTGCTTTTTAAAGGCTCTTGGTCAGAAGTATAGCAATTCAGATACCCCTGTTTGAAAGCAGCAGGACAGATTTGTTCGGAGACAAAAGCTCCAATTAGTATTTTCCACACCCTTTCACAATTTTCTCTACCGCTTTTGGCTCTGAAACCCTTTATGCCAGGGCTTTGTGCCTGCTGGAGAGGCGGGGGCCGGGGCAGCACCGGCGGGGGGGCGGGGGGGGGGCCCCCCGCCGGTGCCCGCGGGCACCCGCAGAGGTCAAGTAGCTGGGAGCAGGCGGGCTGCGGACCAGACGGCATCACGTGGGGGATGGAGCCTACCTGAGTTGACCGAGATCCGGGCTTGGCGGATAACCACCTGCGGGGCGATGGGCGTTTTGGGCTGCAGCTTGTGGAGGCCTTTGGCGACCTGCAGGAGCTTTCCAGAGACGTCAACTCCATACAAGAACCGGTCCATCAAGAACACTATCGCTGCCGCATCAGCACAATCCTGGGCGATGATTGAGGCCCGCAAGGCAGCCTGTAGGAGCAGCCACAGGCAATGAACCATAAGACCGCCCCCCACCCCCAGGCCTCCTTGCACCAGGTCTGGTCATCTAGTTACTTTTAGTTAAAACAACCAAACCTGTAGCTAGGGGGAGAAACATACTTTACTAAGCAATTAAGTCATAAGAAGAAGAAAGTAAAAAAGTTCAATTCAGTTGATAAAATAATATTGGCTTCATTCCATTTCCCCGGTTCGGTTTCTAAAACCCCCCAAACATGAAGCGCATATTTCCTGCTAAGTTCAAACAATACAAAAGTGGGGCACAGATTTAAAGTACCCCTATTTCCCCACTCTGAACCTGCAATGTGGGAGAGCTTCGGGAGAGAAATCTGTCCATAGAAGCAGCAATCCACGCTTCTGGATTGGTTGGGGTCTAAGTAAGTACTTAAGTATATAACTAAGAAACTTATGGTGGTGATGGGATTTGAGTTGTCTTTAAAGTGCACTGAGGAATACAAAACAATTTTTTTGCTCTGTGGCCTGCAGCTTGCACACTAATTAGCCTCCACTTCTCCTTCTGTCCATCCTCTGGTCCTTCTGATTCAATTTAGGATATCCCAGACTTTCTCTTTCAAAAGTAAGAAAAGACGCATTGTCATTGAGAGAGAGTAGTCTCTGGTTTTCAAAACATCACAGCAACAGCTCGGTGAGAGTTTTAACAGTATGGTAGAGTTTGCATGTTGACTGGTCCTGAAAAGCCTATATGAGAAGGGTTTGGTCCCAGGCGGGGTTTTGGGAAATGACAGAATCTTTTGGTTGTGGGGCTTAGGGAGAAATCCTCATGGCATTAGGTGTGTTCCCTTGGAGAGAACTGTGGGACTCAGTCTCTTCTTCCATCTTTGCTTCTTGGCCATGAGGCAAGCAGGAGTGAACCATGACCACTGCTGTTCAGCATGTCCACCAGAGGCCCCACATGACAGGTCTGATGGATCATGGATGGAAACTTACAGAAATGTGGACCAAAATGATCTTTTTCTACTTGTAAGTAATTTTTCTCAGATATTGCCTTATAATGATGGAGAACTGGCTAAAACAACTTTTACATCTCTAAGTCTCTAAGTAACTCTGGCCTACACTTTTATATCCGGCCTGTCCTGGGGTTTTCTCTGTGGTATTTATTCACATGGTTTGATTTCTGGTTTATATATTTCTCTTTTTTTTTTTGTCTAACGATCTATACAGAATTGGTTAGAACATAAGATTTATGCATACATATGGGTATTTGTCCAACAGGTAATACCTAACAATAACTACTACTCTTTTCAGACTGATTGTGTAAAAGCAAGTTTGGCCGTGAGTGCATATTGTAACCTCAGTGCTGGGAGCAGGGCCGGGTGTGTGTGTGTGTGTGTGTGTGTGTGTGTGTGTGTGAGTGAGTGACAGGTGGATCCTGCGAGCTCATTGATCAACAAGTATAATTGAAATGGTTAGCTCTAGGTTCAGTGAGAGACTCTCTCTCAAGAGAATAAAGAATGTGCGAAACACACACACACATGCACACACACACATGCACACACACACATGCACACACACACACACACACACACACACACACACACCACTCTTTAATTTCTTGCTGCCCAAACTTTTGTTTTATTTACCAATTTGCTCAAAATCCAGGAATGGCAGAAAGCTATTATTTATTGGATCCTCTCAAAGACCCTGATGTTAGTTGCTACCTTTCTTTTTTACAGTCACTGTAACCCACGGCCCTATCTTTGACACAACCACATATTTTGCTACTTGGCCATGACACCCTTTTCCCCATGTCACCACCAGAACATGGTAGACCTAAAAGGAGCCTTGCACTACCTAGTGTATGGCTGTGGGAACAGCTTCTAAAGATGAACCTCTCAACCCGAACTGAGACACATACAGAGAAATTACCACCTGGTGCAGGACAGAAAGGAGACGGAAGTAGAGCATGGCTAAGCTATTTCTTCAGGCAAGCTGAGGGAACGCCAAGCCAAGTGGCTCTGCCTCCAACCCTGCCTTTCTTGTGGTACAATCTTCTTAAGATTTATTTGCTTATTTATATTTTGTGTATGTGTGTGCTCCTGCATGTGTTTATGTGTACCACTATATCACATGTATACAGGTGTCTATGGAAGAAGCTACAAGAGGGCACGGATCCCCTGAAACTGAAGTTATAGGCAGTTTTAAGTTGCCTCTTACGGGTGATAGGGACTGAATCCCGGGTCCTCTGCTCTTATCTTAGCTGCTGCCATCTCTCCACCTCCTCCCCCACCCCAGTGCAATCTTGAAGCTGCATGTCCTTTATTACCCATCTTCGTCTTCAGGATAATGTACACCTTTTGTGAATTTACTTGATTGAGCTTCTGATCCTTCCAACAAAAATAGCAAGCTAAAACAGAAATGCTGCTTGGGGTTTTTCAAATAAACAGTCTTCATGAAAATCAGATTTCATAATGAAAGCAGTCACATGAATATTATGCTCAGCTCTGTCTGATAAGGTTGGGCTCTGAGCAGGAGTCCTGCCTATGTGCTCTACGTAAACACTGTCCTACAGTTTGCAACGTAGGCTACTACCTAAAGGTCTCAATGTTTGACCTTTCTCCTATTGGCAACCCCTTCTCTTCCGTAGAAAGAACCACTCTTTTCCTGTCAGCTTGCTCATTGGAGGGTACTCAGTGAGCCACTGTCAGCTTTTTCGCTGATGTCGCTCTCTGGCACCCTGTACTCTTAGTGCACCCCCCCCCAACAGCCAACTTCAGGCACTTGCAGCAGCCACTGGGAAACCAGGTTCAAGGGCAGGCTGATCTCCAAATATGATCCCCAGTCTTTTCTCATAAATAATAGCAGGTTCCATGTTTGTACCACCATCTAGTTTCTGAACAGTGTACACTTACCATCTCACTAGAATTGTATGGAAGCCCTAAAATGTAAATTTAAAAAGGCATCCAAGAGGCGAAGTGACTTTCTAAGTTACAAATCAAAAGGGTCAGAAACAGTCTTTTTCAATCTCTCTCTTAGTCTCTCTCGCTAACATTTACTATCAAAACCATTTTAAAGTACACATCTCAGTTGTGCTAAAGACCCTCACATTTTTGTGAAGTAGTCGTGTAGACATTTTCATCTTGATAGGTTGGGAGTACACATTAAACAACTCTCCTTTTACTGGAAAGCACCATTCTGCCTTTTGTTCCTATGAAGCTGATTACTTTAGAAGCCTACGTGACATCATACTGCAGTAGTCTTTTTTTGGAGCTATATTTAGCATGATTCCATCAAGGTTCATCCTTGTAGGAGATTACAGAATTCCCTCCCCTTTAAGACTGAGTAGTATACTACCCATTTGTACATCAATAAACATCCCAGGTTACTTCTTTCTGTGCTATTTGAATGGTGCTGTCATAAACATAGATGTGCAATGTCTCTTTATATGCTTGTGTGTATATGTATTTGTGTGTGTGCTTTTTCATGTGTATGTTTGTATGTATACAGGTGCACATGCACGTGTGTGCCTATGCGTGTATTGCATATTGTATATGCAATACAGTCTTCTTCAATTGTTCTCAGTCTTATTTTTTCTTAAAATTAAGATGGTTTTATATGTATGAGCGTTTTGCCTGCATGTATGTGTGTGCAAGCCTGGTGCTTGCAGAGGCCAGGAGAGGGTGTCCGATTCTCTGGAACTGGAGTCACAGACAGCAGTGAGCCACCATGTGGGTTCTGGGAACCAAACCTGGGTTCTCTGCAAGAGTAACAGTCTTAATCGCTAAGCCATCTCTCTAGCCCCATCAACCTTATGTTTTGAGACAGGATCTCTCACTGAATCTGGATCTCAGTGACTGGTTAGATGAGCTGGCCACTAAGTCTTAGGGATTTTTCTGTCCCCCACCTCCCTAGTGCAGGGATTATAGACACACATCTCTGTAGCTGGCTCTTTCTAAGTACTGGGGACCAAAACTTGGGTTCTTATGGTTACATAGCAAGCTCTTTGCACCTAAGCCTTCTCCCCAGTCCTTGCAGCATCTCTTCGAGACCCTGTTTTCAATTTTTTTTTGAAATAAGGTTTTACTGTTTAGCCCACAGCTCCCTATTCTCTTGCTTTAGCTCCCTGTTTTCTAGGATAAAGACATGTACATTATTTAGAAAAATAAAACCAGAAGCAGGATTTCTAGATCATATGGGAGTTTTATTTTGGCTTTAAGAGAAGCCTCCTGTGGTGGTTTGATGTGAGACACTCCCCCACAGACTCACGTATTTGATCTGCAGTTGGTGGTGCTGGTTGGGAAGGTTGTGGAAACTTGAGGAGGTGGAACCTTGCTGGAGGAAGTGAGTCAGTGGGGCTGGGACTTGAGGTTTCATAGTCCAGCCCAATTTCCTGTTCATTCTCTGCTTCCTGAGTGTGGATGCAATGTGACCATGGCTCCTGCCGCCATGCCTTCCCCACCACCATGGACCCTCTGGAATTGTAAGCCAAAATAAATCCTTTCTTCCTTAAGTTGTTTTCTGTCAGGGTATTTTATCACAGTAACAAAGAAATAACTAAGTACCTCCATATTGTTTTCCACAGACGTTGTATAATTTTATAGTCCCACCAACAGGGATGTTTCCCCACACCTTTGCCAGTACTTGAAGTCTCTTAAGAGACAGTCTGTCAGGGTTGGAGAGATGACTCAGCACTTAAGAGCACTGGCTGCTCTGGTAAAGGACCCGGGTTCAATTCCCAGCACCCACATGGTACCTAACAACTGTCCATAACTCCAATTTCAGGGCATCTCCAGTTCCATGCCCTCTTCTGATCTCTGGGTGCACTTACATACATGCACATAATACACTCATACACATAAAAAACTTAAAAATAAGAGTTTGCCTTCTGATTTCTTTCTTTGGTTTGATTAACATAATTCCGACAGTGCACAACAAAACTTAGTGGGCCTTTGGAACTAGGGTTAAATTTACTACTGAGTCTAAATAGTTTTAGAGTTCATATCTTTCACTATGGT